TAATAGATAAGGAGTATCAATAAATTTGGAGCTTGGGGGGCAAAACCACTCATGGCTTTGCTTTCTCTAAATTTTGTTTAGTAATACAATCAGATGAACTATTTTTTTTCTAAAAACATTCCATGTATCTCATGATAGGTATATTATTTTAGAAATTTTCAAGTTTCAAATACTAATTTTATGTTTTAAAATCTAATTTTGTTAAGAGGTGAATTTAAACATTAATGTGGCTTTACAACAAACTTATTTGAAAAATAATCAAATTTTTATTTACTTTTGATACTTAATTAATGCTTTAAAAACAACTTATGAGTTGTATTCAATTTTCAATCATTTTGCTGAAATTTTAAAGCATTTACTGTAATTCCTTTTTTAATTACAACAAATAATCAAAATTGATGTCGCCTTATATAATTTGATGTATTTTAATTTACTCCGATTGATTGAAAAATATTAAATGTTTTTTATTTCTGATGCTTTATGCCTTACATATTCTAGTTACGATTTGCTACTAGATACTACCTATATTTATTAAGTTTTTTATTGCTTTAAATGTTTAAATCATTAAAGCATATCATTTTACAACCAATTATTCATTGCTTTRCTTATAATTGAAGAACAACAAATTATGGCTATTCAAATCATATATTAATCCTCATTGGATTAACTAATAACTACTTACGATAAATTATAATGTTCAACAGATATTTTTTTTTTTGGTATAGGTACCAATTGTTCTTTCATTAAATAAATTGTAGGTATACATTATTAGATTGATTTATAAATTAACTTTTCTATAAAATATATATTAAAATTTTATGTCCAACTTTTTTTAAAGTAATTGCAAATTCTTCAAAACTTATAGTTGGCAAGTTTATATTATGCTAATGATAAATWTACTATTAATCTATTAATTTTCTGTATTGATATAATATTTTCTTAATTAATTGTTTGTTACTCAATTTAAATTAAYTAGGATATTTAAATAATTAACAATTAATATTATTTATGCCTTATGTATAAAAGAAATCTTAATCATAAAACGGTGGTTAAAGATTTATTCTATTAATCATGCTTTGACAAGTGATGCAATTGTTTTTACTAAAATAGTGAAATACTGATAAATAATATGCATAAATTCATCCAGTTAAAAAAAAATGAATTGGCCTAAATCATATTATGTATAAAACTGTTTGATATAAGCTTTATTGATAAACATTTATAGCAATTAATTTCAATGAACATTTCATTTAGGTTTTATTGTCTATTTATTTATCTTATTAGTTCCTATTGAAATTTGTATTATGATGGGTTTACTATTTAAGTACAGGGTTCGGGACTTATAACCCTAAAAACATTAGAATATGTCTTTATATATATATATATGTCCCAAAAATCTAAAAATATAAAAACAAGCACTTAAATAAATGGAATAAATTTCATATAATTATGATAATTTAAATTTCAGGAAACAACTAGTAAAATATTTTAATTAACAACCCATGGACATAACAAAATATAATATATTAGATAGGTACAAAAATCTACTTATGTGTATGTGATGTCTTTTAATAAACCAAATTGCACAACTACTTATTTTCAATCATTGGTCTATGAATACATTGTTGTACAATATTTTTCTGACATACAATATTATCAATTATTATTCATGAATCCATAATCTTGATTCATTGGTGGTAATTGTTAAAAATCATTATAAGGACGCTCAACCACATGTATGTATTCTCTCCGACTAACAAAACTACAATATAACAAAACTGTTTTACGCGAGATAGAACCACTCGGGATTTGGAGATAGCTAGGATTCCAAATTGATATACAACATAATTGAGAACATTATTTGTGTTTCATTATCGTTTTATTTTTATGATATCACCTATACAAAAAAGTTTTTATCGTTTAAAAATCCATTATTTTTGTGTTTTTCAAACTTGAAAAAAAAGTTATTTTTGTCCCTTTGTTATCGAAACAATAAAAACAATATTTCACAGTTAAAGTTCTCCTTTTTATGAGGTGGAAATTTTGTTATTTAGTTATACTCGTAGCTTTCACAGTTGATTMACATCGGTGATGAAAAAACAAACATTCATATCTATATATTAGGTAATAATATGAAAATGAAATATTATAATAAATCAATAAAAAAAAAAAATAATTAAAAATGT